CCATTCCCCATGGGGTGCTTTCTCCTCTCTCCCTCTCTCCCTATCTCTCTGGCAAGTGCACGTGGGGGAAAAAAAAAAAAAAAAGGAGGAGAGGAAGGGAGGAAAAAGAGAGTAATTGCACGGATTCTCAAAGTAGCTTTTACTGAATATGCATATAGTATCCATACCACTGTGAAGTTCAACAATCTTACGTTGGGGCTACCAGGTGGTGAAGTGGTTAAAGCCACGTGGCCAACCACAGTGCAAGTCTGGGATCTGGCAGCTTGAAAATCATGCCGGGCATGTGTGCATGCATGCCCAAAATCCCAGGAGAAGAATGGAGGAGAAGGGATTGTGGTGTGGCCAAACTGGAGGGTGATTGTTCGCATTCCCTGTCACTGTCTCTGTCACTCTCTGGTGAGTGCATGCACCCAATGGCAAGAACAACAACAGAAAAACCACTTATGCTGAATCACTCTTTAAGTAGGAAACTGTCTATATTTTCCACTAAACTGAGCTTCTTAAAGAAAGCGGCTGGGGTCAGGTTTTCTATGTTTGGCTCGAGAAAAGGCTCAAACGCTCTGAGCTTGAATTTGTGTGATCAGCTGCACTATAAAAGGTTCTTAAGGATGGTCAGAGTGCTTCCAGAAAGTCAGAATCTTACCAATGTTGTTTCCAGACCTTCCGACCATCATGTATGAAAGCTTTGAAGGGGCGATAGATGGTCCGAAGTGTTCTGTATCTAATAAGCAGAAACGAGACTCCAGGGAAAAGCCCAAGTTCAGCTTACTCAACCTCTTTCAACTATGTGCAATTTCAACCCGATGTTATTTCATTCTGTCTGAGAAAGGTTAACAGGGTAATGGAGTCTAAGGTAAAAGCTGTCTTTATCACTCTGGGGTTCAAGACGTTGACCTTTTGGGGGCCTTTGCTTATGAATGAGATCCTATTTTAATAAGAGCATCTCTTTTCTTTTTCTTTTTTTTTTTTTTTCTGCTATAGGGCACGTGCGCTCGCCAGACAGAGCGAGCCAGACAGAAAGTGAGAAATCACCCCCCAGGGGGGATGGCCACACCACAACCCCTTCTCCTCCATTCTTCTCTCAGAATCTTGGGCACGCACGCACTCGCTCCCGGCGTGAGTTTTAAGCCACCGGGTCCGGGACTCGAACTGCGGTCAACTATGTGGGAGTCCAGTGACATAGCCATTATGCTAATTGCTGGTCCCAAAAGTATCTCTTTTCTGACGGAGGTGTAAGATAACTGCCCTGCACCGCAGCATGCTCCCGTTTTAACTGGGCTTGCACAGTGAGTCCCTGGGTCACAGCTTATAACTCCCAGCAGCAGGTGGCACGGTGGTTTAAGGAGCTGGGCCTCCCACACGGCTAACGGCAGTTCGAGCTCAGGACCTAGAGGCCTGAAACTCACACTAGGCGCATGTGCGTGCGTGCCCAAAATCCTGAGAAGAGAATGGAGGAGAGGGGACTGTAGTGTGGGCCTCCCCATGGGGTGTCCTCTCACTTTCCCTCTCTCTGTATCTCTCAGGTGAGCAGGGGCACTCCATGGCAAAAAAAAAAAAAAAAAAAAAAGTAAATAAATAGGTACTGTTATCAGCTACGTTTTCTCCACAAACGCTTCAGTCAACGAAAGCAGCTGTATAATTTGAACAAATAGTTAGCTTTTACAGGATTTACACTCATTGCCTCGTTAATTGAATCATGTGTCAACATAACAGAATGTTCACCGCTTGTCATCTGAGAGAAGCTCGGGGACCCCCCCCCCCCCCGGCCCAATTCCCCCCCCCCCCCGGGCTCAATGTTCCATATTCTGAGACACTTGTGTAGCAGGCAGGGGACCGAAGACCCAGCATTTCATTCATATTAGCTGGAGAGGGTTTAGTTCTGTCGCTTTTGTTTAAAACTGTAGAAAAGAAGCACACAGAAACCTATCATGACCTCAAATAATTCACTGGAAATTTAAAAAAAAAAAAAAATAACAATAGTGATAGACCGATGGTGAATTAAAACGTACGCTTCTCAGTTAGATACTAAAAATACAAATCTAAACATCTCTTTCAAGACTACCAGGGACTGGCGATCACATGACTCACTCCAAGATGAAGCTGAAATAGAAATGTATCAGAAAATATTTGACCAGGGTACTTTCCCAGCGGTGAAGTCACATTAGCTTTTTGCATCACTATGCCAAGGTATTTTTCTAAGAACTATTTATTTAGTTTTATTTGTTATTACCACTTTAAATTTGACCAGGAAGAAACAGTGAAAAAGAGAGAAAGAAAGCGAGAGAGTAAACCACCAGGTTCAGGCCTGATGGTCCTGCCCCATAGGAGTCTAGCACCTTAACCATCACACCTCCTGCTGGTCCCAAGCCAAGATATCTTAACCTGAAATTGACTTTTTTAAGGGATTGAGAAATTCTCCAGCTGTCCACCCCACAATCATGTAGGGAGGTTACTAACTGCCCACCAGGGATTAGAGAGAACCCTGCAAGATAGTTTGTCTGATAATCTCAGTGTAACAGTATCCAACCACAGCCCAAGGAGTGGCTGTTACTATGTAAATGGTTACATTACAAAACTAAAGCCAAAGCTATTGAGATGAATACAAAACAAATTAAGATTCCTGGAAAAGGTGCCAATGGCCTAATTCAAGAGCCTGTTTTTTAAAAAATAACAACAGCATTACTAAAGGATTGTATTACCCTCCTGTTGGTATTTCTTAACTGTAAACTGAAAAGAGAACTACCCTCAGGGTCACTGATTCGCCCTCCAAAGAAAGCATTAGCAAAGAATACCTAAAAATAAACAAAGGGGGACCAGCAGTTAGCATAATGGCTATGTCACTGGACTCCCATGTATCTAGCAGAACGTGGTTCAAGTCCTGGACCTGATGGCTTAAACTCATGCCAGGCGTGTGTGCGTGTGTGCCCAAGATCCCAAGAGGAGAATGGAAGAGAAGGGACTGTGGCATAGTCATAGTCATCCCCCCTAGGGGATGATTTCTCACTTTCTGTCTCTCTGTCTCTCTCTGTCTTTCTGGCAAGTGCACGCACCCTATAGCAAAAACCTCTCCAAAAAAAAAAGCATTCATACAGGGAAGTGAATACCCTAAGCACATAAGTATATTCTTAAGAGGAAACATTTTAAAAGCAGAAGTCACATTAAGTTCAAAATGCCAAAAAAAAAAAGTTCCTAATTTTAGTAATCTTATATACCTCCCCCTCCAAAAAAAATAGGCCTAGTAGTTGAGATGTATTGATTTTATATATAGAAACCCTATATATGTAGAACTCCCTTCCCTTTGAGAGAAGTGGGAAAGGTATGAAAAACAGGAATTGAGAATTCTTATATCGCATTTATAGAAAGGTACAGTTTTATTTTAATGAAATTCAGGAGTGATGGGGGAGGGCGCCTCCATGCCAGTTTCCCATTCTCCAGACATCTTCAAGAGCACCGACTCTCAGTGAGCTCAAGATAGCTTCGGCTCTAGAACAGGAGTGTTCGGCTGACAACAATCCAGAAAGGTCTGCAGTTTTCTCTGACTTTCCTGGGCTTGGCACTGCTTACCCCAGAGCAGCACCAGCCTGCAAAACCCACAGGGTGCACAGGCTCAGGAGGAAGGCAAGCTGAAAATACCTAGCAAGTACGTCTTCATCCACAGTTTGGCTTTTCGTGACTAATAACTTGAAGCGACTTACGGGTACCAGATCGTAGGGTTCGTGAATGTACTTGTTAGAAAGAAAGAAAGCAAGAAGAAAGAAGGAAGGAAAGGAAGAAAGGAAAATCTGATGACCACTCGGCACCCAAAGATTTTTTTTTCTTATGTCAAGGTAATAATTAAGCCATCTGGAATGAGTAACGCTTGAGGGACCCATGATGTCAAACAGAGAACAGCTTCGGTTTAAATTCCAGTATTTTACAGAACTGCATGGTTTCAAATTCTCTGCCAAGCAGACGCCTCTTTTTTATCATCAGTGCCACCAAGAGCTATTGCACGTCAAAGGGCCACATTAGCGGTTCTGCGAATTAGGAAAGGGAGAAAGAGACTAGGAGAGAAAATCCCACCGACCCTGATGCTTTGATGCACTTTCAAACTGTTAACCTGACGAGTCTTTTCTGAGACAGAGCGACATCATTCGAGATAAAATCACAACTCCGTATGGACTTACCAAGCCCCTGGGCCATGCCATCGGGCCCTTTCTTGGTCATTTAACCACACATCCCTGTCTGAATCACCAGTTCAGTGTGTACCTTTAAAGGAATCCCATTTCAGCCCACCAGATCTGTAAGTTGAGGAAAAGCAGCTCAGGAGACACGCTTTGCACCAGAAAGAAAGCCCAGTGGGTCAAAACCCACTTCCCATTGCCTGGGGCCCGGGAGAGTGGCAGCAGCTAGCAAGCGGCTGGACGGACGAGCCCTACGGGGAGCCAGAACTGACCACGTCAGTGTCTGCACCTGGGACAAAAGGCGGCCAGCCTGCGCATCCCGGCCCAGCAGCCCCAGGGACTGAGAGACAGTCGGAAAGGGGGACAGCAGGAAGCGGGGAAGGGTCGACCAGGCTGGAGCTCAAGCCAAAGACCGGGATGGGGCAGCCAGGGTCAGAGGGAAGGGAGGACAGCCACGGGCAGGACCACGGGGATGGAGTGGAGGGACCGACAGGGCTGGGTAGGAGAGGGCGACAAGGCCGCGGCAGGGGGGCAGCAGGGGCAGGCAGGGGCCGGGCTGGTCCCCTGAGGGCATCAGACCCCTGGCTGTGGCGCTTGCTGCGCGCGGGGCGCGCACGGGGCACTTTGGAGCGCTCTCTCCCGGAGTCCCCCCAACGGCTCTCCGATGCCCCATTTCAGAGATCAGAACTGCGGGGCCGACCGTGCTGCGCCGGCTCCCCGAGGTCACCCGCCCGGGGGCAGCAGTCACGGAGCGCCAGACCCACCCGGACGCAGGGGGTCGCTGGTGGCCGCTGGGGACGGCGGCGCACGGGGCGGCGCGGGCCGGGGGAGCGGTACCTGGGCTCGGGCAGGACGATCTTCTTGCTGGCGCGGGCTGCCGGCGTGGCCTTGCTCTTCTCCATGGCCATCAGGTAGCTGACATCGGCCAGCACGGCCTCCAGGTCCGCCATGTTGGCAATAATAAATAGTTTAAAAAAGAAAATACATAAATAAACTGTGTTTTGAATACAAGAACAACTGTATTACATGGACCTGTTTTTTTTGAGTTGACTCTAGCCGAGTGCACAACCCCCTCTTTGGATGACAGTGAGGAATTGGAGGTGCTGCAGTAACTCATTTATATCACTAGGGTTCCATTTGGAAAATGATACCTCCTGGTGTCTAATTTAATTAGTAATTGTGTTTTTGGTTCCAATTGAAAACCTCTGAAGAAAGGATTGTAATAAACTGCGGTTTATGGTATTATTATTGTTATCCTAATTATATTTACTATTGTGACAGTTTTCAATTAAGACACTTTTCAACTCCTCCTCCTCCTCCTCCTCGCCCGCTGCCCCGACTTCCCGCCCCGGCTCCCGGCGCTCCCTCGCCCGCCCCTCTGCCTTGGAAAGCTCCCGCCCGACGCCCACCACCCAAGGGCCATCCGGGAGGTCTCTGCGCCCCGAACTCCGCAGTTCTTAAACCGGACCGGGCGGATCGGCATCTTCCGGGAGGTCCGGGGCGGCCGCAGACGTGCGTGTTCCACATATCCCCGCATGGGATGCCGAAGCTGGGGGTCCAGCCAGCCGTGAACAGCGCCCCGGCGGCTGCGCCCCCAGCCTCGCTCTTTTTTACCGCTCCCTGTAAACTCGGCCAAGAGAAACCTAGAAGTTGGAGAAAGTTCTGGAGCTAAGCGGGGCTAACTGGGGGAGCGCTCCCAGCGCCAGAGCCCAGGGGCCCTGAGCAGGGCCCCAGAGGGAAGAGCTCTCTACTCCAGAGGGTCACCCCTCCCTAGCACTCACACTGGGGCGGACGGTCCTAGTTCGGGTGCTAAAATGGTCTCTGAGTGTCCTAGGTCCGGTGGGGTTTCACCTGTTAGAGAGCGCCTTCTGAGCACGCAGACCCCCCATGGGGGCGCATGAGGGAAGTGAAGAAGCCTGAACCCAACACGGAGACCAGAGGGAATTTCCAGCTTCCTGACCCTCAGACTTGGCGTCCCCAGTCCCCACCCCTGCCTGGGTTTCCAGTTGCTGCTTATTTTTCTGAAGCAGCGAGCCCAAGTCCACAGTCCACGTGGTGCTCAGGTTGGAGAGGTGGTAAAGGCCACCCAAGAAATGAAAAAACAATCCCGTTCATTCATCCTAACTGATCACCTTGCGCCATGAACCAAGCTTTCGCTAGGATTGGAGTACATGTTCTGAGGTCCATAGGTTCACCAGAAATGGGTTAAAGTCACATTTCCACCTGGTAAGGCCATGGTGGAAGTGGCCTGTCCCTCACCATAGAACCCTGCCCTCTGCCCTGTCGTTTCCCCTCCCACCCCGAGATCTCACCCATACAGTCCGTTTTCCTGCCATGCTGACCACACCACCGACCAGCTTCACCACACATTTCTCAAGGCCCAAGGCACCACGTGCATAAATTGTCCAGCTAAGGACAAGAGAGATGCAAGAATAGGTAAGTGGAAGGAGCTTGGCCAGCCGTGGAAAGCTGAAATAATGCGGGAACACAAGCTGCATTAATGAGACAGAGATGCAGGAGCCAAATAGGAAACTTTCATCTTCTACCCACTGCCTGCCTAAAAACAGGAACACAGACTGTCTTGTCAAGGGTCACCCTAGAAGGAGGGGTAAATTCCCCCGAAAAGGCATAACATTTCTATGATTTAATTAACATAAATTTCTTTCTTTCTTTTCTTTTCTTTTTTCATTGCTAGAGAGTGCATGTGCTCACCACAGAGAAATAGGAGAGAGAGGAAAAGTGAGAAAGCACCCACCCCCCACCCCCAGCAGGGATGACAATGCACTATCCCTTCTCATTCATTCTCCTCTCTGGAGTTCCGGCAGACACGTGCCCAGCGTGTTTCTCAAGACACCAGGTCGGGGTCTCGAACCACCAGATGGCCATGTGGGATCCAGATGCCTTCACTGCTATGCCACCTGGCCAGCTCATAATGTGTCTTTCTTATCAGTCGAGCTTTCAAGTGCTCAGATCATCATATACAAACTTCTTTTTGCCTCCCACGTCTTGGTCCTCTTTGACTTCGGACCATTTTTTCTGTCTGGTTTTGGTTTCAGTTTTTTTCGAGAAGCAAGGTGGCATACTGAGTTTGAAAGGAGACACACCTTGATTCATATCCCCACTCTGTGCTGGCTGATCTTAGAAGCAACGTCCCGCCTCTCTGTGCTCTCCCGGGTGAAGTATGAAGGCCGTTCGCCCGCCAGGCTTGTTGAGAAGACAGGAGAGAACTACCTCGCCTGACACCCAGTAACCGCAAAAAAGGTCAGCTCACTTCCTCTGTGTATTTGGTTTCATTTCACCCTGGCGTGCTAGAGAAGATACTGAGGCTAGTTGTTCGCAGTTGCTACATTTGAAGCAGGAAGACCCCTTACCAAAAATAACATCTCCCCAGGGCCCTTCTAGGAACCACAATGGCAAGCACGAGCCTCGCCTCGTCTGCAAACACCGGGAGCACTTCATCCTGCAGCAGAAGGAACAGGAATCCAAATTCTGCTCCTGTCACGGAGACCTGTACATTTAAGGTCAGCCAACTCAATGACCCTGGGGATTTTTTTTTCCTGGTATTAATCATATGTGAATTTCTTTTCCCTGGCTCTCTCTTTTGCTTTATCCACCCCCTCCTCTTTTTCTCTCCCCTGACTCTCTTAACACCGAACAGCTTTTCCTGTTCACTGCAAACAAAAGGCATTAATGACAACGTCATCACTGACCCTCCTGGATCCTGTTACTAAGCTCCATCACCAGCCTGTAATCTTTAGAAGGAACAGAGAAAACAAATAATGCTCCCTTGCAAATAATTATGTTTCCCACCCTCCCCCACGCTGGAGGATTTAAATGACTTTGGGCTCACGCTGCTTGTGATAATAGATGAAACTCCAGAGTTCCCACTCAGTTCTGAATCTTCCCTTTTCCTCTTTTCTCCTTTCCATCCTTAGGGGAGATGTCGCTGAGATGAATGCATGAAAGTTGAGGCTCTCCAGAGTTCATTTGGATGACAGCTTCAGTGAGCAAAAAAGCTAACCAGGGAACTAACTGGTCTTGTTTTAGATTCTGGGCTTTACTGGGACTTTCCACTTCCAGAACCCTTGGATTGTAAGACTAGTTGGGGGGGGGGGGGGGGGGG